TTTATTTATCTTAATTGTTTTGCACTGACTCTCTTGCACTGGCTCTATGCACACTCACTAGACTCTACCCACACACACACACATACTACACTGACACTCCAACACACAAAACACAGACACACACACACACACGCTCACACACAAAACACACACACACATGCATATTGATGCCACACACACAGACACACACACACACTACATACTCTCACACATACAAAACACACACACATGCATATTGACGCCACACACACACACACACACACACACACACACACACACACACACCACACACACACACACACACACACACACACACACTTATTTTCACACTTCACATAAGCTGCTGCTACTCTGTTTATTACAGTTTTTTACAATCACTTTGGCACTAATTTCAGAACCTTGACGTCATTTTTCAAAACTCTAGACACAAAACTCAAAACGGTCATCACTTGTAACACAGGCTGTCCAATGTTCAAAACATTGCATTGTGCATTCATATCTTTAAAGAAATCTTGCACTTGCACAATCATTGGTTCAAAAAACAAATTTATTTTGAAATACCAATGAAACGTTAATTTAGATCACCCACACACAAGCAACCGATAGTTTCACTGTGTCATTGTTCGTACGATCATTAAATATTGTAGTACAAAACAGGTGATACATGTTTCATTATGGTACTACATGTAAATACATCCCTGTAAAAGTACTGCAGTAGTAGAGAGAATACTACAGACACAGTGGAATCATTGAACAAAATCTGAAATATATTGATGAAAAACAATACAGTACTGTAAAACATCAAATGCAGTGTTCCTCAACGTGCTTGCTTGTACTGTAAAAAGCAAAACATAGGAGTGATTACTGTACTTCTACATTTTCATCAACTCTGTCTTGTGGTTTTGGCCACAGGTTCTCATCTACATCACAATGGATGTTTTCATTAGCCAAACATCTTGGAAAAAACCTTTGGCCATGGCGAATCCAGGCCTGACACTGGTCTGCCGTGATGTCATTGCATGCGTCATCCATGGCCTGGAGAAGAGTGACTTGTTCATGAGGGCGCCTATCATAAACCTTCCATCTCCATGTGGAGAAAAATTCCTCAATCGGGTTAAGGAAAGGAGAGTATGGGGGTAAAAACAGGGTGGTAAATTGTGCATGGGCCTGGAACCATGCTTGCACCATATGAGCATGGTGGAACCTGACATTATCCCACAAAATGACATAGGTCACGCCACCAGCTCTACAGGCCTGATCGAGCTCATCAAGGAAGGTTACAAGGGGACCATAGAAACGGTGTCTGATAAAGACACATAGATAATGTAGTCTAATTGGTTCATGCTCCACGCTAATTGGTGACAATGAATCTCGTTACTTTGAAACTTTCATGATCTAAACATGGAATATTGTTTGTCTGTTTCCATACAACTATGCATTAAGAGCAATGCAACAGTTACTTATCATTTTGAGCAGTTGTATCAATTGATAGTTGGATAATTGTAATGAAATGAATAGACACTCATCTGAAATGTAATGTGTGAATTGCCTTTTGAAATAGTAGTACTTTGATGTTAAGTTGTGTCATATTGAACAGGTGACTTTTGTTAAATGAACAAATTATCTTAGTTGTATGTGTATTGTATCCAAGCAATTGAAAAAAGTGTTAGCGTTTTGAAAAATGTGCATTTTGATTATTGGTTGTGAGTTTTGTGTCTAGAGTTTTGAAAAATGACGTCAAGGTTCTGAAATTAGTGCCAAAGTGATTGTAAAAAACTGTATATATCCTGATTGCCTAGTCACCTTTACCCCTACCCACATGTACTGTACATACTGTATTACCTGAATTACCTCAACTACCTCGTACCCCTGCACATTAACTCAGTACTGGTACTCCTTGTATATAGCCTCGTTATTGTTTTTATTGTGTTACTATTTCCTTTTTATTTAGCAAATATTTGTCTTACTTTTTAACTCTGCACTGTTGTGAATGGGCTCGTAAATAAGCATTTCACTGTATTCTACACCTGTTGTATTCGGCGCATGTGACCAATAACATTTATTAAGCTGACCTCCTTTGTCCACATCTGGAACTCCAGCCAGGGCATGTTCAGAAGTCAGAGGCTGAGTTTCCATGACATGGTCAGTTTTGCTGACTCACCAGCCCTAGCGTCCCACCAGAGTAGAACCTGTGTCTGGGCTCCTCTCTGTGCTCCATGACAAAGCATAGGTCTGGTTACAGCAGCACAGCTTGACGTCAGGATAAAAGGCCAACACTGATCTCATTGTTTACGGAGCCACTGGCTTCCAGTCACCCACTGTGTGAGGTAACCTAACTGGCTATTGGAGACAATAGCGCACCCTGTGGCAGATAGCAGCCAGTGGCCAAATCTAACTGTATGTTCAGACAACCACATCCTGATTCCTGACCACTAAAGATTGGCTTGATTAACTGAATCAGAGAAACTGGGGGCTGAGTTAAATTGCTGGGAGCCTTATATGTATTAAAGCATGGAGTCTTTCAAATCAAAATCAAATCAAATTTAATTTGTCACATGCGCTGAATACAACAGTTGAAATGCTTACTTACGAGCCCTTAACCAACAATGCAGTTCAAGATGTGTCAACATGTGTTAGGTGTTACTAAGGAGCTACTTCAAAGCTGTGCGCAGTTGAGTGCTGGCTGGTTCCTCCAGCAGAGAACTGTCTGTCCACTTCCTCCCAGTCCAGGGAGAGGCCAAAGAGCATGGAGAGAGAAAGACCAGAGAGAATCCACTCCACTGACACCAAGCCATACTTCTACTTCTATTTTGGGTCGCGGGATGAAAATATGTTTTCGATAAAACTCTAAAAGTGAGGTTTGGTGAACATATCATTACACTATACAAGCCACAAACTGCAGTCATACGAGTATAGCTAGCTAGTGTGCAAGTGGCTGTAGACAATAATATGCAATGTTTGCAAGGTTAATGTTGAGTGACTGTTTGTCCGTGGGCATAAGAGCTGAGCTTTTCAGTAGTAAGCATTTCATGGGCCACAGAGTGTGGCGCGAAACCAGGTGGATTCACAACGGTTTGCTTTGATTTCCTTTCATGACGATCCCTTTGGAAACTGGGCTCCTGGCTGGGCAGTGCTTTGCCAGGCTCAGTGACTTAGTGGAGCCAGGAGAAGCTGTTTTTTCTCCAGACTGAAGGTCCTTTGAGGCAAAAGGGCAGAGCAGGGCAGAGCCCCTTGCACGCAGGTGAACCATGTTTCTCCATCATGGTCTGGCCCTACACAGAGCCTAGGTGGACCAGGCTCCAGGGCAGTAAAATGAGGGAAGTGTAAATAGAAGTGCAGTGTTTGATGGATTCTCTTTGGGCCAGCCATCTGGAGAGGGTCCTTGCTATCCGGAATCCTTGGGATGTCCCTACCCCATTTGAAGTTGACATTTAAAATCGTTAAGGTAAGGGTTAAGGTTAGGGTTAGGTAAGGGTTATGGTTAAAGTTAGTCTAAGGGTAGGGTTTAGGGTAGGGATGTCACAAGGATTCCGAATAGCACTTACCATCTGGAAAGAGCTGTTCTCAAATGAGACTCGGCTAAACTGTAACTTGAAGTCTCCATTTCCGTTTCTTCTTTACCTGTGGGCTCAAGAATAAGCACTGCCTGTAGGCTGTTTGTTAGACAATAAATCATGTACTGTATGAATGCAGTAAATGCATGCTGTTATGTTACATTGATAAGAGCGCTATTTGTGTCTGCATGTGAGCTGAGAGGGTGAGCTTTTTATGAAGGCTCAGCCTCATAACAGGCAGCACACACGGTGTACTTTTCCTAGCACCTGACTCTTGACACATATTGATGTTTGTCCAATTCGAGCCCAAACCAACATGGCTTTTGGCCGACAATTTGAAGGTTAGCTACATCAACAAACATGCCTTGGTTACAGGAAGCCCCTGGCTGGTCTACTCCTATGCATCAGTTAGTGAAGTATACAGATTAGACTCTGTATCTCAGTGATCTAGACCCATCTTTGGTTGATGGCTCCTTCCTCAATGCTTCTTCAATGCCTTTCGTCATTGCACAGAGGCTAGGAGAGATTGTCCATTTACAAATCTAAGTTTCGCTTACATTGTTGGTTTCAAATGCATGTTTTGCTAATTCCAACTGATCTTACTTCAAAATGGCGGCAGCTAGCTGTGTCCATCTGTATTCCATGTGTTTAATGTATGTGCCTCAGTGCTTGGCCCCTTTGACTGTGCTGTGCTCATATTGCTGATGAAAAGTGGGTCATTGTCTGCAGAAGTCATTATCATGTGATCCGGTCCCTCTTGTGCAGCAGCACAGCCGGGAAAGTCAGTGGTATCTCTCCTCAGTGCTTGGCAGCAGCTCGCTGCACCCTGGATGGAGGGGACTTGGCATCTAGAGGGGCCACAGCACATTATCCTTGACAAGCCCTCCAAAATCTGGAATTATCCATTCATTTCCTTGTTGAATTCATTACGCCTCATATTTGGATCAGCTCTCTCTCTCTCTCTCTCTCTCTCTCTCTCTCTCTCTCTCTCTCTCTCTCTCTCTCTCTACACATCTGCAATTGTAGCAAACACACTTTAAGTTTCTTCTGTTTCGATGGAAATGAAAGTGCTGCGAGCGAAACGCTCTGAGCTGAGTTGAGCGCTGGAATCCGGTGATTGGTTTTGCAGAGCTTTTTCCGAACCCTCTGATTATGAACAAAGTAAATCACTGATTTCAAAAAGACCCTGAGGGGTAAAACGGAGACAGATAAATGATTGTTGGTGGTTTATCACTATACCAGCTAATATCTCCTGCTCACTAGAATTCACTCCCCCACACTGTCTTCATCCAGAGTCCACACTGTCTGCATCCAGAGTCAGACAAACAGCAATATCAACTAGCACACCTAACACAAACTGTTTTGGTCCATTTGTTAAAGACTCTGTACTAACACTGCTATGTGAGATGTTTCCCAGCTTCCTCTGTCCTTTTTCCCCTCACAGTCCTTGGTTCCCCGAAAGACCTGGTCACCAAAGATGTCACAGACACCAGCTTCACTGTCTCCTGGACGGCGGCGCTCGGTAACGTACGCTCCTACCGGTTGAAGTGGAAGTCGTTGTACACGGAGGAGACAGGGGAGAAGTCAGTCCCCGGGGATGTAACGGCCATAGTGCTGGACGGGCTCACTCCAGAGACACGCTACCAGGTCTCTGTCTACGCAGCCTATGGCAGGGGAGAGGGGGAGCCGCTCGTGGGCGCTGAGACCACAGATGGTAAGTCACTTCACCTCCCTAATGTTTCCACCACACACAGACTTACTGTGGGACCCTCTCTCTCTGTCTCTCTGTGTCTGTCTCTCCACTTCTCTCTCTCTCTCTCCACTTCTCTCATCTCAGATGTCTCTCCACTTATCTCTCTCTCGTCTCTCACTTCTCCATCACTTCTCTCTCTCTCTCTCTCCACTTCTCTCTCTCTCTCTCCTCTCTCTCTCTCTCTCTCTCTCTCTCTCTCTCTCTCTTTCACTCCCCTTCTTCATCTCTCTGTCTGCCTGAGAAGTTTCTGGGTTTTTCGTCCCCAGGTTACCTCAGAGCTGAAAAAAGTATATAGATGTAGGATATAAAATACCCCATGACCTCAGAAAGTTCTATCTAGGTCTTTATATAACTGGAACGAGCCTATATAAAGCACCTGGAATGAATAGGAGATCCAGACTGATGACATTAAAGAGTGTGTTAAGATGGTTTGGGCCCTTGAAGAGATTGGATTTGGGAACAGACCTTATTTCCGTAAATACATCATGAGCGTAAAGTTTTCATAGTCTTTATAATCCACGAATAGATAAAAAAGGTAAAAAATAAGATGAAACAACTTCAGTCCTATCACCTTGACCGTTGAAACCAGTGACGCAGGCTTTAGAGTTATGCAGGAAACAAGGGTTTTAAAGGCCCGAACTTGAGCCCCATCCTTGGGCGTGATGTGGAAAAAGTGAGATACAGCTCATTTTTGAGCTTGGAGATAACATCAACGCTGCTGGCATTCATCTGATCTGTCTGAAAAGCCAACGAGATGCTTTTGTAATCAAGGTGACGTGTGACTGCGTGTGTGTGCTTATGCACGTGTATGTTATGTACGTATATAGCCATTACATTTTAGTCATTTAGCAGACGCTCTTATCCAGAGCGACTTACAGTTAGTGAGTGCATACATTTTTTTTTTTTATACTGGCCCCCCGTGGGAAACGAACCCACAACCCTGGCATTGCAAGCGCCATGCTCTACCAACTGAGCTACAGGGGACTACATGATGCAATGCGCCACACCTGCTCCCAGTTATCAGGGGAGATTGTGGGATTCGGATAGACATGGGAGTAGACAGTGCTTCCCCTCTCCTTGCAATACAGCGACCCACTGAAATGAGAAAAGCACATTGACGGAAACTCGCCCCGATTGGGGAATTAATCCGCTGGTTAGCAAGACGAAATGTGCTAATGGAAAATGTGTCTCTCCATCGTTTTGTTTATTGATTCTGGAAAGCGGGACAGGTGCAATTTACACCGAAAACAACCTTGAGGCGCCTCCAGAGGCTTGTATGGTTTATGTCTGTGGTCACTAGCCCTGCGGGTTCCTCCACCAGAACCACCAGCCCTCTCTCTGTCTCTACTAACAGGACAGGTCCATTTGGATCAAGCCACACAGTGAAAACTTGGACAGTCTGCTTTTTTCCGTCCATAAAACTCCTCTCTCTGAAGTCTAGCTGTCTGAATATTTTCCTGAGCTCGTTTAGGGGTTTTGGCAATTCACACTTGTCCTTCCTGCACCAAAAACACACCATCCCCCAGAAAAAGAAATAAAAAATGAATAAAAAAACACACTGGGGTCATAGTATTGAAAGAGTGCAGACACAGTGGATACAACCCACCACCCCAACACACCCAATCTAGTAAAGAAGAATCTGGTCAGTGTGTGGTCTGACTGGGAAATAAAACAATGTTTGGATGGTTTTGTGTTCACAAGCATATGGAAACTGAACAGATACCTCAGTGAAAACCTCTGAGGTATCCAACCGTGTCAATGTTTATATTGCCCAGAAGAAGCCATGGCTTTGTACCATTTTGAAATGTAGGCAGCAATTTGGCATGCATTCCAATTCTACTTTCTGCTCAAACTCGCAGCATGATACCGATATCAATCCATCAAGCATTCATTTTCTTTCATTTGTGCTCCCAGTGTCTGCAGCTGGAAAAGTTGTGGTCGTTTCCGAGGAGACGGAGAAGAGCATGAAGGTGACATGGCAGCCTGCACCCGGGAATGTTGTCAACTACCGGGTGACGTACAAGCCAACGTTGGGAGGGCGACAGCTGGCCGCCAAGGTGCCCGGTGGGACCACCAACACCATCCTGAGACGCCTAACGCCCATGACCACCTATGACATCACAGTGCTGCCTGTGTACAAGCAGGGAGAAGGAAAAGCAAGGCAAGGAGTAGGAACCACACGTACGTTGGTCTATCATTAACCACAACTAAACTGTGCTCTGTGCTGCTTACGTTAGGTTAGGGGAGTCCTGTAGAGTAGTTAGTCACTAGAGGGTTATGCAGACTCATATTAAGTACTTATCATCAATCATCATCAACTACTAAATCTTGTATGAAACAGCTGCTTGCAGTAGGATAGCCAAGGAGAGAATGGGTCTCCAAAGAGGCAGAACTAAGATTTTAATAGCCTAATGAACAGTTTAGCCACATTTTACTTCCAGTTTATATTCATCTGCTTATATCAAATCTTAATTTTCTCTGTTCCAGTGTCACCGTACAAAGCCCCTAGAAACTTGCAGACCTCTGAGCCCGCTAGGACCAGTTTCAGAGTGACCTGGGACCACGCTCCAGGGGAGGTCAAGGGCTACAAGGTCACCTTCCACCCCATTGGGAATGATATAGACCTGGGAGAGCTACTGGTCGGACCTTATGACAACACTGTGGTTCTGGAGGAGCTCAGGTAGGCTAACCTGGGACTGGAAAGTAAAGTATATCAGATGGACTGTCACAGGTACTGTATTACTTTGCACAGGTACTGCCGCTTTTTCATTAGTTCAGTCATTTCTCTCAGACAAACTGACAAACCTGTTGAGATGAATGAAGTGTAACTGATTAAGGTTTGTCTCACAGGGCTGGTACCAAGTACACAGTGAGTGTGTTTGGGATGTTCGAGGGAGGAGAGAGCCAGCCGTTGGCTGGAGAGGAAAAGACTACTCTCTCTGACGCCCCTGAACCACCACCGTATGATGGAGGTAATGCCTCCTCTCAAACCCCTCCTACATGATTAATCATAGCCAGCAACAGCAACACAGCACTACACAGGAGACTACACTGTAAAGTATTCACCTTATACACAGCCAATCAACAGGCGTGGGCGCGGCAGCCATGTTAAAAAGTAAAAGGTCATAAGGTAAATATGTGTATGCAGGAATCGTATATAAAAATGCTGTGATCCATTTTATTGGCAAAAGCGAAATAACACATTTTCCTCAAAGAACCCAACAACCTTAATCTCCCTCATGATACTTAAGACCTTATATATATGTTGTGATTCCTGCGTCCATAGCCAACGTGGGGTATACATTTTTTGAAAATACGTTCTAATCCCTCTCCCTATAAAAACAGATGAGTTGCCCTAAATGCCTTTCCTCAAAGCTAATTGTCTCACCAGATAACAGATGTAACGACTATTCCATCTGTTGGCTGCATGCTTTTTTCATCACTTTGGGTTCCTTTTTCGTTTTCTGGATCCTGCGGTAGCTAAGAGCAGTATAATTGAAAAAAGGATAAGCTGTTTGCAATTACAAGTGTTTTACAACCTACCGGGTGTGAGCACGTGGCATGGTGCAGGGCAGTGAGTGAGAGGAGAGGCGAGGCGAGGCGAGGCGAGGCGAGGCGAGGCGAGGCGAGGCGAGGAGAGGAGAGGAGAGGAGAGGAGAGGAGAGGAGAGGAGAGGAGAGGAGAGGAGAGGAGAGGAGAGGAGAGGAGAGGAGAGGAGAGGAGAGGAGAGGAGAGGAGAGGAGAGGAGAGGAGAGGGAGGAAAATGTTATGTGTTTGATGGAAGGCTCCAGAGAGGCCAGTCTGACCCTCAGCTGACTGGAAGGCCTCCTCTAATAGGGAGCAGATACAGTGACAAGACCCAGTCATCCAGCCAGCCAGCCAGCCAGCCAGTCAGTCAGTCACCCACAATAATATAATTCAATAAAGGGGGCAGAACACCCCTTCTACACCCCATTTCCCCCTTTCTCCTTACCCAGAACTCCTCAATTCAGTCCCCCCATCCCCAATCCTGGAGGAGTGAGTGTAAGAGGGGATTGAGGAGAGAGGGATTGGGTCTGAGGTAATCCGTTCATTAGCCTCCCTCTACTCTGAAGATATTTTACAGTACTGACACTTTCTGTCTCCTCCTTTACACATTCAAAGTGTTTTTGATAACCGTTCTTTGAGTGCGAGATAAATATGTGCCGTATCGCACGAGTAGTAAACCAAACATTGAATTTACAGTGCCATAAACAGGGACTGGATGTGAATTTATTTGGTGAAATGCATATTGCAGTCGAAGGACAAACATCTGCCGTGGCTGATAAATCTTCCCACTGTAGTCTCCGTCCGATAGCCTTAGATAATTGTCTTTATTACGACTGTGTAGCTAGCTAAAACAGACTGGAATCCGAATGGCACACGGTTCAGCCACTCTAGGACCCTCACACACCGCTGGACATCTGTTTATCTGTTAGCAGCATGGGGAGGGAAAGACAAGTCTGTAAATCAAACATCATGTAACCTGTTTTCAATTGCAGACAGTGGCAGATTGCGCAATGTCTGTGTGCGGCTGCTGCCGCGCATCTGCAATCTTAACGGACTGGGGACGAGGCCTTCTTCTCATCCCACAGGTGTCTGGAAAACAGTGAGAGCTGTGCCAGTGAGGAATGCACAATAACTCTCACCAAGGATACCCTCATATGTCATGTCAGGAGAGCTTATTTTTTTGTTCCCCGGGAGAGGCTGAGGAGTGGCCAGCGAAGAACACTCCTCAGACACAGAGAAAGAGAGACAGAACAGAGTCTCAACTTGTTGGAAGAAAAGAAGACAATAATTATATCGGCACCTGGAAATGAAATGTGTATGATGAAAATAGCTTGTAAGCCTAAAAATGGAATAGAAAGTGTTTTTAATGCTTGTTTGTAAAGAGACAGAAAGATATGTGTTTGTTTTCTGTTTGGGAAGTGTGTGCAATGTACTGTGACTCGATGTCAACAATGTCATGTCAATTACCTATTTTCTTTCCTACTCCTTCACCTCTCTTCACACCCATGCATTTTTAAACACCTCTGAGCCATCTTCATGACATGTCTGCCCTATAACGGAAACTGCGTTATGATAACTAGAGCCCCATCATTGTTCTGTACTGTGTCTCTGACCTGTAACCTCTGACCTCTCAGATGTGGTGTGTAAGACCAAAGCCCGTGCTGATATAGTCCTGCTGGTCGATGGCTCCTGGAGTATCGGTCGTCTGAACTTCAAGACCATCCGCTCCTTCATCTCTCGCATGGTGGGAGTCTTTGACATCAGCCCTGACAGGGTCCAGATCGGTAGGTTGAACCTCAGTGTGCCTGAGGTCTCACAGGACATGAGCATTCCTGCTCCCTGCTGCAGATAACAGCAGCAGGTAATCCTGTAGGTGTTATAATGTTGGGTAGATTTACATGGCATCTGATCTGACAGAGGCTCTCTGTGTGTGTTTCTCGCAGGTCTGGCCCAGTACAGTGGTGATCCTAAGACTGAGTGGCACCTGAACGCCCACAAGACCAGGGCTTCCCTGTTGGAAGCTGTAGCCAACCTGCCCTACAAAGGAGGCAACACCCTCACTGGTACTGTACTTAATCTACATCTATAACCTCAATGCAGACATTACTATTTTATACTGTTAACTCTATCATGTTAGTGCTTGTATTGGCTATTTAGACGGCTACTGAAATAGGTTCCAGTTCGTAAACTTCACAATGAAAACTGTGCCACTGCTTTGGTTCTTGGCAGTTGAGCTGTTTGTGTGATAGCCAGAGGGTGAAGGCAACTGAACTGAATTGTATGCTCCATTATGCAAATAAAACTTTGTTGTTCCTAATAGGCTCACAATGTATTTTATAATAATCTGCATTCTGTTTAGCTGCCTTGTTGGAAAGGCCTCTGAGAAATGTTTAAACCGTGTGATAAATCAATGTTTCTGTCTTCCTTGCAGGTCTGGCTCTGAACTACATCCTCCAGAACAATTTCAAGGAGAATGTTGGGATGAGACCCAACGCTCGGAAGATCGGAGTTCTGGTCACTGATGGCAAGTCTCAGGATGACATCATTGCCAACTCCCAAAACTTACGTGACCAGGGCATTGAGCTGTATGCCATCGGTGAGTCTCTGCCATCTTCACTGATAAGTTTTGCCTTTGATCTATTTTGACTTGATAGGACATCTGACACTCCTTATATCCATCTCAACTTGAATAATGACAATTATCTTAATAATTCCTTACACACCCAGAATAATTCCTTACACACCTTTGCCATACTCCACCTACTGTATCTTCCTCATAAAATGTATGTAATGTATCCTCACCTTGTGCTAAGATGGGATAGCTGACCTGACTGTTGTCCCTTGTTGACTCCTCCTAGGTGTGAAGAACGCTGACGAGAATGAGCTGAGGTCCATCGCCTCTGACCCGGAGGAGATCCACATGTACAACGTGGCTGACTTCTCCTTTCTGCTGGACATAGTGGACGACCTGACTGACAACCTCTGTAACAGCGTCAAGGGACCAAGTACCTTCAACCTTCCATTAAACTCCTTGTCGTGACTGTTAATAAGGTTGCAGTCTTATTAGCTATGCAGGTTATCCCTTAGTCTTAAAACTAGCGCTTTCAAGGCTTATATTCACAAAGTGTTCTAAAGCAGGAGTGCTGATCTAGGATCAGTTTTGCCTTTGAAATCATAATGAATAAGAGGTGGGACCTGATCCAAGATCTTTGAGACTCTTTGTGAATACAGGCGATGATCTCCACACAGCCAGCCATGCTGTGTGAGGCTAAGAGAGACCCTCAATAGAGTAGCATGTCTGGAGCACCAGGGGAGGCAACACAAGGAGCTGAATGCCAGCCAACCACTGGAAGTAATATAGAATCTAGTCCTCTTTCCCCAGATACTCTATTTTATCCTCTCTGAAATTAGAAATAGTCTGCTCCTTAATCAAATTAAAGAGCTGGAACTGGATACTATGTGGGAGAAGTTCTTTATTTTTATTTTTAGAAAAGGCTTAGATGTGCTGTGCAGCCGTCTTGAGTAAAGAGTGTTTGTCTGTCTGTCTACTGGATTCTCTGCTAGGGAGCTGTGTCCAAATCCATGAAAGACAAATCAAATGCTTCTTAAACAACAGGTGTAGACTAACAGTGAAATCCTTACTTATGGGCCCTTCCCAACAATGCAGAGAGAAAGAAAATAGAGAAATAATAGAAAAGTAAAACACATAATAGTAGATACACAATGTGTAATGATAACTTGGCTATATACACGGGGTACCAGTACCGAGTCGATGTGCAGGGGTACGAGGTAGTTGAGATAGATATGTACAGGTACATATAACTAGGAATAAAGTGACATATAATAAACAATGAGATCCTATGCTTTGGGTTGATTTTACCTCCTGTCTCCCCTTTTCCCTGATAGGAGGTGGCCCTGAGGCGCCCACTGACCTTATAACCTCAGAGGTGACCAACTATTCGTTCCGTGCCAGCTGGACAGGCCCTGAAGGTCCAGTGGAGAAGTACCGTGTGGAGTACATGACCTTGTCTGGACGCCCTCAGCAGGTACATACCTCTAACCTCCACCCTACTACAACCCTAACAAAGACCAACCCCCCCCCCCCATCAGCCCCCCAAACCCCTCTGTCACTCCCCCTCTATCAACCCCCAAACCCCTCTGTCACTCCCCCTCTATCAACCCCCAAACCCCTCTGTCACTCCCCCTCTATCAACCCCCAAACCCCTCTGACCCCACACCTACTCTACATGCACAGTGCCTTGCAAAAGTATTCATCCCCCTTGGTATTTTTCCTATTTTGTTGCATTACAACCTGTAATTTAAATGGATTTTATTTGGATTTCATGTAATGGACATACACAAAATAGTCCAAATTGGTGAAGTGAAATGAAAAAAATAAAGGAAAAGTGGTATGTTCATATGTTTTCACCCCCTTTGCTATGAAGCCCCTAAATAAGATCTGGTGCAACCAATTACCTTCAGAAGTCACATAATTAGTTAAATAAAGTCCACCTGTGTGCAATCTAAGTGTCACATGATCTGTCACATGATCTCAGTATATATACACCTGTTCTGAAAGGCCCCAGAGTCTGCAACACCACTAAGCAAGGGGCACCATTGCAGAAACTTTTAACATCCCACGGAGCACCATTAAAAAATGGAAAGCATATGACACCACAACAAACCTGCCAAGAGAGGGCTGCCCACCAAAACTCACGGACCAGGCAAGGAGGGCATTAATCAGAGAGGCAACAAAGAGACCAAAGATAACCCCGAAGCAGCTGCAAAGATCCACAGCGGATATTGGAGTATCTGTCCATAGGACCACTTTAAGCCGTACACTCCAAAGAGCTGGGCTTTACGTAAGAGTGACCAGAAAAAAGCCATTGCTTAAAGAAAAAAATAAGCAAACATGTTTGGTGTTCGCCAAAAGCCATGTGGGAGACTCCCCAAACATATGGAAGAAGGTACTCTGGTCAGATGAGACTAAAATTGAGCTTTTTGGAGAAGAGGAAGACGCTATGTCTGGCGCAAACCCAACACCTCTCATCACCCCAAGAACACCATCCCCACATTGAAGCATGGTGGGGGCAGCATCATGCTGTGGGGATGTTTTTCATCGGCAGGGACTGGGAAAATGGTCAGAATTGAAGGAATGATGGATGGCGCTAAATACAGGGAAATTCTTGAGGGAAACCTGTGTCAGTCTTCCAGAGATTTGAGACTGGGACGGAGGTTCACCTTCCAGCAGGACAATGACCCTAAGCATACTGTTAAAGCAACACTCGAATGGTTTAAGGGGAAACATTTAAATGTCTTGGAATGGCGTAGTCAAAGCCCAGACCTCAATCCAATTGAGAATCTGTGGTATGACTTAAAGATTGCTCTACACCAGTGGAACCCATCCAACTTGATGGAGCTGGAGCAGTTTTGCCTTGAAGAATGATCAAAAATACCAGTGGCTAGATTGTGCTAAGCTTATAGAGACATACCTGAAGAGACTTGCAGCTGTAATTTCTGCAAAAGGTGGCTCTACAAAGTATTGACTTTGGGGGGAGGGGGGGGGGGGGGGGGGGGGGGGGGTTGGGGGGTGAATAGTTATGCATGCTCAAGTGTTCTGTTTTTTTGTCTAAATTCTTGTTTGATTAACACAAAAAAATATTTTGCATCTTCAAAGTGGTAGGCATTTTGTGTAAATCAAATGATACAACCCCCCCCAAAATCAATTTTAATTCCAGGTTGTAAGGCAACCAAATAGGAAAAATGCCAAGGGGGTGAATACTTTCGCAAGCCACTGTCTTATGGGAAGACTTTCTCATTATGCTGGGTTTAGTTCTAGCCTCTGATCTGCCAGAGACTAGAGGGAAACCCCAGAAACTCTCTCCACCTCACTTCCTCAAGCATGTGTTGGCTGCTCAGCATGAGGGTTTTTGGCAAAAAAGGGTTGTTTTATGTTTATTTAATATCCCTTTATCTGACAGCTGCAGGGTCTTGGCTCCAGTGTACTAGTATGGGGTAGGCTAGCTGCTAGATCAACTTCCAACTTCTTGGTGTCCAATTTCATTTTTCAAAGTATTTATTTTATTCCAGCTCTCATGGTTTTGTGAGGCAGTGGTCTAGTGTGTGATCGAGGTAGTGTTTGTTTTTGACTCTTATAAATAGAAACACACTGGGTTGGAACAGTTAGAGTTTGGTCAGAGTTCCTACAACCTCATTTGTGACCCACCACATGGATTTGGTTCTATGTAGCAAAATTTGAAATTGTGTTTTTACATTGGGTAAAAGTGCAGACTCCAAGCTAGAAAATGGTATATCATACACTGCAGTTGAGGAACAATGAGAAAGTAATTCTGCTTTGAAAGTTGATAAACTTGTAACCCCACTTTTGAGAAAATGGCCCGTGAATGCTTTGGTACACCTACTGGAGTGCTCTTCTTTGTCTACACCCATTCAGCATCGTTCACACCCTCTTAAGCCTTAGCCCCACCCATCTCTTTAAGGATTCACTGTGTGGTAAACAACCAAAGAGTTCAAGACTAAAAGTGGTGAAAGTAGTAGCAAGAAGTAGTAGTAAAAATAAACTTTATCTAGTCCTTGGCCTATATCTTAATCTGACTTTGGTGCAGGTCATGTTGTTCTTCACATTACCGTCTCTGGTAAACACACACTATATCAAATAAAATCTAAATTAATTTGTCACATGCACAGGATACAGAAGGTGTAAACGGTACAGTGAAATGGTTACTTGCATAGTGGAGCATTTTGTTTAGACATGTAGCTAGTTAGCTAGCTAGCCAAACAATGAACCATAATCCCAACTCTAATGCTGCGTTCAAAACAACTGGGAAGTCAACCAAAAAACTCAGACTGGGAAAAATCGATTTGAACGGTCCTCCAACTCGGAATTCCAACTCGGGATCTCGGGCCTCTTTCTAAAGCTCCTACACAGATCATACATGTAACGTTAGCTATTGAGCCAGCCAGCTAAAGTTAGCTAGCTAGTTAACAGTACGCTTTAACTTGCAATGAAAACTTCTTTCTGACAAAATTAGAAACATATAATATCTGAAAATGTCACTAGACTCTTACCCCGTATACATGGATGAACACTTCTCCCTCTGTCATGGATGCCATGGTGCCCCTTAGTTTGAAGATGTAATTCAGAGACAGGTGTTTTATACAACAGACTCTCTCCGCATCTGGTAATCATCTCTCTGCTTCCACCGGGTATTTCACTGACTTCAAAACTCGGTCAACTTCTTCCGTGACAACGACACCGTTTCTTCCCCACCATTGTCATCAGAAGGCTCTTCAATGTCTCATTCAATTAAAATGTTTTGACCTAAATCATGGATTTCCTCATTGTCTGATTCATTTTCAGAGTCAGACAGAGTCAGCATGGCATGATCATCCTCTAGAACGTAGTACATCACAACATTTTCCCACTAACTTTAGGGCAGCGATGTTGAGAGCAGTAGCAAAGGTTTTTCAGTTCTTCATGATAGGTGCGGTAGACAGGATTATCCACAAATACTTAGCAGCTCATGTTATAGACAGAAGCATGCTACATGGCAGACCAATCCGAACTCATTTCTCGGCATGTCCAGCCCATCCATTATCTCAGCCAATCATGGCTAGTGGGAAGGTTCCTGTATTTTTCCGTGGCTAAACCAACTAGGCTCGTTATTTAACAATTGTATTCATATTTACAGATGGCATACAAGTTTGTTATTAAAGCACAAGAAAGTTCACATGTTCCAGAAGGCATTTCTAAAATAAAAATAAAATAAAAAACTTTCAAATGCCTCTCCTGTGAAGTAGTGACGTGCGACATACGCCTAGTTTCTTGAAACGGGTCACATTTGTGGTTCAATTAAAACCAGTAGCATCAACACAGGAAAGACTGATAGCTGTACTTTGTTGTATTGTTTGGTTTATTTGTCCTCCAGCAGAAACCAACCTTTCCATGCGTGTCAATCGGGGTACTTAAAATAGACATCCCAAGTCATTCTACAACCTCATACTGTATTCGCCTGGTTCATGTTTACTCTTGATGTCTGGTTGTAGATGTTTGTTGATGGCTCTGTGACCACAGCCATCCTACCTAACCTGAACCCACTGACTGAGTATCTGGTCAATGTCTACTCTGTCATCGGAGAGGAGAGCAGCGACCCACTGAAGGGCACTGAAACCACCTGTGAGTCCTAATCTGTTTTTCTGTGTTCTTCTTTGATCCACTATACTGTACCTGTCCATTAGTGTCCTTCAACATACCTTTATGTCCCACACGTAATCCCTATAGGATCAATAATGGATGTCTTTGAGACTGTAAAACAAGCATTCTTCCATTACATTCAGCACACCACTGTGACTGTATGGATGTTCCAGTGATGCTTGTGCAGTCCCTGTTTTCAACGTTAAAGAAAGAACAACACTGTCCTGTTTATGATACCATATAAGGCTGCTATTATTGTAATCAAATTCAAACTCAAAAGCATGCTGTTATTCAGCGCCCACTCTCTGCAGCAAGAATGAGAGGTTTCTTTAATGTTGTTCTTCAGTGTTCTTTTATTTGTCCTCTAGAATAGCGTGATTTTATGAAGCAATTTTTTAAACAAGTTATTTCTCCATAAAAGCTCCTATAAAAGACCTCATTGTTTAGTTCTCACCACTTGAATAGGCACATGAAATCTGCATGGCTGCATTTCACTGCAAACATTTAGTTTTGGATGGGATTGTGTGTGTGTGTTTAGAATCTAACAGTGTTTCCCTCTTCCTGTTCCCCTGTCCAGTGCCCCTCAGCGCGGTGAGGAAGATGATCATCTATGAGGAGCGTCCCACCACCATGAGGGTGAAGTGGGAGGAGGCAGTGGGCGCCACGAGCTACATGCTACTCTACAGCTCCATCAACGCCACAGAGCCCGTGGAGAAAGAGGTGAGACGGCCACTGTGATAGAGAGAGAGAGAGAGAGAGAGAGAGAGAGAGAGAGAGAGAGAGAGAGGAGAGAGAGGGAGAGAGAGAGAGAGAGGAGAGAGAGAGAGAGAGAGGAGAGGGAGAGAGAGAGAGAGAGAGAGAGAGGGAGACGCCAGACCAGCTGTGGCACTGACACACACACACGGATGCTGCCAATGACCGAATATACCGGTCCCCTGCCAATGTCTCCTGACAGCATGCAGATGTCAAGGAGCAGTGATGAGTAACTCTCCATTTACGGATGCAGAGGCAACTAAACACACAATTATTTATTAAATTTTTATCTCACTCTGGCAGGATATTAGTTCCTGAGGTGTCAAATCCAGAGGGTTAGATCGTCTGTAGTATTGTCAACACTTCGATAAGTTAAAGGACACTGGATCCTGCCTAAGACTTGTAATCTGTGGAAACATGTTCATCCAAACTGCCTGTCTGAACGACAGTGAGCCTTGTAAACTAATGTTTGTTCTGTCATGGTCCTCCCCTGCAGATGAGAGTTGGAGGGGACACGACTGATGTCCAGCTGGTGCAGCTGATCCCCAACACGGGCTACACTCTGTCCATCTTAGCCCTGCACGGAGAGTCAGCCAGCGACCCCCTGACCGAGCAAGGAGTCACACGTACAGAACACTACTCCTCTACATTCAAATGCATGTTGTTATTAATGTTTTGCGCTTAGTGCTCTAAGGGAGGGTAAGGGATGACAGGTCCTAACTCCTGGAGAGTAAATTAGGTCTCCTCACTCCCTAGTTTATGGAATGAAAGTGATTAAAATGATAAATAATGTAATTTTGTGAGCCTCATGTTTCTGTCCCTCTGTCCTCTCCGTAGTGCCCATGCCCCCTGCGGGAGAGCTGAGGGTCAGAGACGTTACCCACAGCGCCCTGAAGATGAACTGGGATGCTGCTCCAGGTGCCGTCCTCAAATACATCATCACCTACACGCCTGACGAGGGAGAGGCCAAAGAGGTGAGATACGACAGTCACAATACATCTGTTGGATACAGACGGCAGTGAAAGCAATACTCTGTACCCTAGATACTCCCTCTGGGGGCGGAGACATAGGCCTAGCTACCCCTCCTACTGGTCACAGCAGACACCAGCTCCTATGCTGAGCACATTCTCTGTTTATGTCATAATAAGTCATGATAGTTATCCTGAAAAGAGAGCTAGCAGATTGATATTGATATTTTTTACGGATCATTTGAGATATGACATTAGACAGCATAATGGGAAGGGAAGCTGGTGAGAAGTGTATGCAGTGGACCTCTGGGGCTATGCTATTGGACCGGGAGCCTGGTGGAAGGATCACACCACTGGACCGGGAGCCTGGTGGAAGGATCACACCATTGGACCGGGAGCCTGGTGGAAGGATCACACCACTGGACCGGGAGCCTGGTGGAAGGATCACACCACTGGACCGGGAGCCTGGTGAAAGGATCACACCACTGGACCGGGAGCCTGGTGGAAGGATCACACCCCTGGACCGGGAGCCTGGTGGAAGGATCACACCATTGGACCGGGAGCCTGGTGAAAGGATCACACCATTGGACCGGGAGCCTGGTGAAAGGATCACACCACTGACAGAGATTTCAGACTAAGGAACATTAGGAATTACCTCCTGTAACAAATGCCGTGATCGTGAGATTCCTGAGACATGGAAAGAAACAGAGAAGTTAATGGTGCATTTTGAAATATTTTTGGGGTACTATTCCAAGGCAGTATGTTTGTGCTTGACTGTCATTAATGTTTTATTTTTTACTTGATTGTTTATCTCTCTCCACTTCTGCATGTGGTAAGGATTTACAAATGAAGTGGAGATAACATGCTGTCTCACCAGATGTATACAAAGACATCCACAGTTTCTCTCACAGATTCTTTGGAACTCATCATTGAGAACGGAAAGTGACTTTGGAAGGCATTCAACATGACCTTGATGAGGAAGACAGTATTACTCATAACTTACCCTAACCCTCCATTTACAAAATAATGCAGTAGTCATTCAGCTGTTGATACAAGCAAATGATTTAACATGGTTTACACTAGAATAATGTGACAAACTGTAGGGCTTGATCAAAACAAAGATTTTGTTTTGTTCTGCAGCTTGAAGTGGGAGGAGGTGTGACCTCCAAGGCCCTGGAAAACCTGATCTCTCAGACTGAGTATGACCTGGCTGTCACCCCCATCTATGATGATGGAGCTGGAAACCCCATGCTCAACACAGCCATCACAGGTACAGTCACACAGCCTATGTGGGGGTTAACACACTGGGGTTAGACTCCATGGAAGTCCTACTCAGTACTATAGGTAAGCCCTGACCATGGGACCTGACCAGCAAACACTTTTGGGCCCTAGTTATAGGGTATAATGATGTCTTAGTTATATGGTATAGTGATATCCTAGTTATAGGGTATAATGATGTCTTAGTTATAGGGTATAGTAATGTCTTAGTTATAGGGTATAGTGATATCCTAGTTATAGGGTATAGTGATGTCTTAGTTATAGGGTATAGTGATGTCTTAGTTATAGGGTATAGTGATATCCTAGTTATAGGGTATAGTGATGTCTTAGTTATAGGGTATAGGGATGTCTTAGTTATAGGGTATAGTGATGTCTTTGTTATAGGGTATAGTGATGCCCTAGTTATAGGGTATAGTGATATCCTAGATATAGGGTATAGTGATGCCCTAGTTATATGGTATAGTGATGTCTTAGTTATAGGGTATAGTAATGTCTTAGTTATAGGGTATATTGATATCCTAGTTATAGAGTATAGTGATGTCTTAGTTATAGGTTATAGTGATGTCTTAGTCATAGGGTATAGTGATGTCTTAGTTATAGGGTATAGTGATGTCTTAGTTATAGGGTATAGTGATGTCTTAGTTATAGGGTATAGTGATATCCTAGTTATAGGGTATAGTGATGTCTTAGTTATAGGGTACAGTGATATCCTAGTTATAGGGTATAGTGATATCCTAGTTATAGGGTATAGTGATATTCCTAGTTATAGGGTATAGTGATGTCTTAGTTATAGGGTATAGGGATGTCTTAGTTATAGGGTATAGTGATGTCTTAGTTATAGGGTATAGTGATGCCCTAGTTATAGGGTATAGTGATATCCTAGATATAGGGTATAGTGATGCCCTAGTTATATGGTATAGTGATGTCTTAGTTATAGGGTATAGTAATGTCTTAGTTATAGGGTATATTGATATCCTAGTTATAGAGTATAGTGATGTCTTAGTTATAGGTTATAGTGATGTCTTAGTCATAGGGTATAGTGATGTCTTAGTTATAGGGTATATTAATGTCTTAGTTATAGGGTATAGTGATGTCTTAGTTATAGGGTATAGTGATATCCTAGTTATAGGGTATAGTGGTGTCTTAGTTATAGGGTATAGTGATGTCTTAGTTATAGGGTATAGTGATGTCTTAGTTATAGGGTATAGTGATATCCTAGTTATAGGGTATAGTGATGTCTTAGTTATAGGGTACAGTGATATCCTAGTTATAGGGTATAGTGATGTCTTAGTTATAGGGTATAGTGATATCCTAGTTATAGGGTATAGTGATGTCTTAGTTATAGGGTATAGTGATGTCTTAGTTATAGGGTATAGTGATATCCTAGTTATAGGGTATAGTGATGTCTTAGTTATAGGGTATAGTGATGTCTTAGTTATAGCGTATAGTGATGTCTTAGTCATAGGGTATAGTGATATCCTAGTTATAGGGTATAGTGATGTCTTAGTTATAGGGTATAGTGATATCCTAGTTATAGGGTATAGTGATGTCTTAGTTATAGGGTACAGTGATATCCTAGTTATAGGGTATAGTGATGTCTTAGTTATAGGGTATAGTGATATCCTAGTTATAGGGTATAGTGATGTCTTAGTTATAGGGTATAGTGATGTCTTAGTCATAGGGTATAGTGATATCCTAGTTATAGGGTATAGTGATGTCTTAGTTATAGGGTACAGTGATATCCTAGTTATAGGGTATAGTGATGTCTTAGTTATAGGGTATAGTGATATCCTAGTTATAGGGTATAGTGATGTCTTAGTTATAGGGTATAGTGATATCCTAGTTATAGAGTATAGTGATGTCTTAGTCATAGGGTATAGTGATATCCTAGTTATAGGGTATAGTGATGTCTTAGTTATAGGGTATAGTGATGTCTTAGTTATAGGGTATAGTGATATCCTAGTTATAGGGTATAGTGATGTCTTAGTTATAGGGTAAAGGATGTCTTAGTTATAGGGTGTAGTGTTGTCTTAGTTATAGGGTATAGTGATGTCTTAGTTATAGGGTATAGTGATGCCCTAGTTAATAGGGTATAGTGATGTTTTAGTTATAGGGTATAGTGATGCCCTAGTTATAGGGTATAGTAATGTCCTAGTTATAGGGTATAGTGATGCCCTAGTTATAGGTTATAGTGATGCCCTAGTTATAGGGTATAGTGATGCCCTGGTTATAGGGTATAGTGATGCCCTAGTTATAGGGTATAGTGATGCCATAGTTATAGGGTATAGTGATGCCCTAGTTATATGGCAATCTCTCCCAGATAATCTTTCCTTTCTTCTGTGTAGATGTTGTTCCTGCTCCTAAGAACCTGCGTTTCTCTGAGGTGACCCAGACCAGCTTCAGAGCCCATTGGGACCATGGGGCCCCTGACGTGGCCCTCTACCGTATCGGCTGGACCAAGAAAGGAGACACCAACTTCCAATATGTAAGACAACCATCCAGGTGGTTTGCGCTTAAACAAAATCGTGGTATTAGATTTTGATTGATTGTGTACAGAATATGGGTATAAAGAATTGGTTTATTCTTGGTATTCTCAATAAAGTTGTGTTTAGGAAGCATTGCCCACATATATTCTATAAGCCCTGTTGTGTTGTGTCTCCCAGTCTATAAGCCCTGTTGTGTTGTGTCTCCCAGTCTATAAGCCCTGTTGTGTTGTGTCTCCCAGTCTATAAGCCCTGTTGTGTTGTGTCTCCCAGTCTATAAGCCCTGATGTGTCATGTCTCCCAGTCTATAAGCCCTGTTGTGTTGTGTCTCCCAGTCTATAAGCCCTGTTGTGTTGTGTCTCCCAGTCTATAAGCCCTGTTGTGTCATGTCTCCTAGTCTATAAGCCCTGTTGTGTTGTGTCTCCCAGTCTATAAGCCCTGTTGTGTTGTGTCTCCTAGTCTATAAGCCCTGTTGTGTTGTTTCTCCCAGTCTATAAGCCCTGTTGTGTTGTGTCTCCCAGTCTATAAGCCCTGTTGTGTTGTGTCTCCCAGTCCATCCTGAACAGTGATGAGACCAGTAACGTGTTGGAAAACCTGCAACCAGACACTCTGTACGACGTGTCCGTCACCGCCATCTACCCTGACGAGTCTGAGAGTGAGGACCTGCTGGGCAGCCAGAGAACATGTAAGACCATTATCGAAGCTAATGCATCACAATAAATACGTATTAGGAGATGCCCATGCTGATCAGATTTACTAACAAGAACTCCTTATATTTCTGTTTCCCTCTGCAGTGTCCAAGGTTATCATCACCCCTGGTAAGTGTATTTGTTATAATCAAACAAAAATACATACAGCACTCATAGAGAGCATTCATTTTAATCAAATACATGTATTTTTATCAAGGTGTTACCATCCAGAAGTTAGGTGATCTGTGTTGGTTAGATGTGTGTTTACGTTGTAGTTTATGTTGTTGTTTATGTTGTTGTGTTTGTGCCCAGCCCCCACAGGGCCTCCCCAGAACCTGCAGGTGTTCAACGCCACCACCATCACTCTGACCGTCAAGTGGGACCATGCCCCTGGTCGCGTCCAGAACTACAAGATCACATACGTCCCCACCGCCGGGGGCAAGACCCAGTCGGTAAGACCAGGAGCAGCCAGTAACCATGCTGTTCATAGTGCTAACATCAGTGTTTAATCCTAACATCAATGTTTAATCAGTGTTTAATCCTAACATCAGTGTTTAATCCTAACATCAGTGTTTAATCCTAACCATCCTCTGGATGATGA